GGAGTTTCTAGGTGGCAGGTGGCAAGTGGCTGGCTGACATGTGCCACTCCCCATCCATCATTTGAAAATTGTGGCCACTTTGCACACACAGAAAGGGCCAAGGGAACTGCAATTCAACTTCTCCCCACTCCTCAGGATGGCCTAGGAGAAAGATCTGTCAAATGCTAATGTGAAAATTGAAACAATTTGCTGTGACCACAATATGATGTGCCTTTTTGTCAGTCAGAATCCCAACAGGCAAGGTCCACAGCCTAATTTTTGAAGAGTGAGCTCTGAAATGATGAGGAGATGATTCCGGTTAGAATGTTTATTGAGCTTCATTGTAAAGCAGGATTAGCCTTTGTGTTCATCTGGTGCCTGTGGTTTAAGCTCTGATGTTCCCAGGATGCAGAATTAATGAGTTTTTTGTTTCAATAATGGAGTTTCAAATCCTGAAGATCAAAGAAAGGCCAGGGACAAGCCTGTGGCACCAGTTGTCTAGTGATAACTGAAATAGGCTTCAAACCACGCTGTCTATGAAAATTACAATATCCTGTTATCCCTAAGTGGATTAAACCAATTGTATCATTCATACCACAAAAGTTTCTCTTTCGTAAAGGAAAATGTTACCCAGGAATCTTAATGAGGAACATCTGACCATAAATTAAAGTACATAAAATGAGATTTTACTTTAAAAAAATTAGACAACAGGATAAGTTTTTAGAGACACTCCAGATGAGACCATTTTGGATACTTGGAAGGGAGCAGTGTTCAAGGAACTGACAAACAGACCTTTGTGCCCTCAAGACTAAATCCAAGGTCAAGTTTTTGTGGAGCAGAAACCCCAAACCCCCAAACCATCTGAGACTCAAGATCATCATTGTCGATCGTACTTTCTGGGAAGAACTTTGTCTATGTTCAAGTGAATTTTAAACAGCTCAATTCTTAGAATTTTCTAACCCTGCAGACAATACCAGCAGTAATTATCAACCCTATAAAATACACAATGAAAATTATACCTCAGACCAGAATATTTGTGAGATAAAATTTGCCTCTACATATCCTTATGTCATTTCATTTTACCTTCCCTGCTTCCACCTCTGTTCCTCAGTGGACCCCGTCCATGCTCTCACCACAGTGCCTCAATGGACCCTCTCCATGTTTCATCAGTCCTTTTTTTTTTAATCCCTTCTCATAGATGCAAAAGCTAAGAATCATAGTTTAAACTCCTTGGCCCAACTTGTCCTACTATTAATGGCTTCTGCTCTAAGTGAAGTTAATCTAGGCTCTTGACTTTTTAAAATTAAAAAACATGTGATCCAAAGAACACAAAATTCTTTGGGAATCTACACTAAGTTAGACTTCTTTTATTTATCTGCTTATTTTAGAGTTTTTATTTTATTTTGTTTTGTTTCCTTGGGGGGAGGGGTGCATGCGCCTGCATGCACGCACAGGTTCCCATGCACACGTACATGTGAAGGCCAGATGGTAACTCCAAGTGTTTCACCATCAGGTGACACCTGTCCTCGCCTTGAGGAAGCCTGGCTTTTAAATGTGGGTTCTGGGAATGAAACTCAGGTCCTCCTGCTTCTATAGCAAGCACTTTACTGACAGACCTATGTTTCTGGCACCTTCTTCCTTATGTCTAACATGGCTACTTTTAAGATGTTAAATACTTGATAACATATTCATTAAATAAATACATATTATTTTCAAATCAATAAAACTTTTGAGTGATGAGAATATGAATTTACTTTGAATGTTTGCAAATATCTTCAAATTCTTTTTTTTCTTTTCTCTTATTATTTATTCTTCTTTTGTACAATACATTCTGATGACAGTGTCCATTGCCCCTACTCTTCTTTAAGAGATAACAGCTCTCTCCATGGTGTTTTTACATTCAATCCTCTGAGCCACCACAAGTCACATTGTTTCTAGAAATGCAACTGAATACTCAGAGATAATGGACAGTAAAACAGCAAATGACACATGTTAAAGTTATTTTTACAAAACTGTGTTTGTTTCTCTTAGTTTCTCTTAATCTAGCTATCACATAATCAATATGCTTTCATATTTTTTAAATAATAAGCTTCACAACACAATAATTGAGCAGTTATAATTCTATTATTAACTCTCTAAACTAATCTGGTTTCCTCCCACTACACATCCCAGAAATATTTGCACTTTGTAGCTCCCTGCTTCAGCTCCTTCTCTTGATCTCTCTTGCACCTCTCTGGTGGCTGAATCCCCTACTTCCTTCCCTACCTCCTCCTCCCCTGGCTGGCAGGAAGTCCAGCCCTATTCTCTTCCCTGCTCAGTGATTGGCAGTAAGCTGCTTTATTGGCATATTAGGGGACAATTGGGAATTACACAACATTGAGACAGAAGATTCTCAGAATAAGGGTTGAACCCATATATGGGAAGGACAGAAATCAGCATTTGAATTATACAGTAACTGTATGCCTATATCCATGTTAGTGGTGTTAGATAGCCTTTCCCTCTAAGAGGAGTGAGAAGCCCCACTGACAGGTTTGGTTGCAGAAACAGCAGCAAGTTCACCATTCAACCACCTGCTCATGTGCACGCTATCTCGTATGTTATTCCAAAAAAAAGGATGAAGATTTGTAATCCTTATGTAACAATAAATATGAAATAGGAAGATATACCCAAGTAAGATAGCAGATTGAAGGCAAAAAAAAAAGCTACTGAATATTTTCAGAATTATATGTTAGCTCTATTCTAAAACTAAGTTAATATATTTCTGTTTTATAGGATAAAAGAGACAATATTTTGTTGTAATTGAGTTAGGATTCTATTTTAGAGGTCATTAACTGAGTTGATTAAATAGAATCACAAATTAACAGGCATTCATCTTAAAGGAGAACCATTATAACGTTGGAAATCTTAAATGAGAAAAAAATGCATACACTATTTAGATAATTCATATTCAAAACTGAGTCATGTGGTTATTTAAGAAATTGTATCTTCAAAATATTTGACTCTGAAAAATGATTCTTTGCTTTTAAACCCAAGGCCAAAAAAATGCATTTATAAATCATATCTGGGTTTGTTGATTTGAGTGTTGAATTTCTTCTTATTTTGGCATAATATTGCTAAATGGAAAAATTGTTTTACTAATGGAACTGTATTATTCATAATATTTTTAACAGCTTACTGCCTTTGGTGTTCTAGAAAATTTGTGCCCAATTTTGTAACTATGTCAGTGCAATCAAAGAAATATAGAATAGGCAATGCACCAAAAATGAAAACATGAATTTGTAAAGTAAAAAAGTATTCACTTGTCTTGTATTTGTTGAGGCTTGCTTTGTGTCTGACTATATGATCAATTTTTGAGAAGGTTCCATGAGGTGCTGAAAAGAAAGTATACTCTTTTGAGTTTGGGTGAAAAGCTCTGTAGACATATCTTAGGTCCACTTGATTTAGGACCTCTTTAAGTGCCATTATTTCCTCATTTAGCTCCTGTCTACATGATCTGACCTTTGGTGAGAGTGGAATGTTGAAGTCTCCCACTTTTAAGGTGTTGAGATCAATGTGTGATTTAAGCTTTGATAATGTTTCATTTACAAATGCAGGTATTTGAGACATAGATGTTCAGCATTGTGAGAAATAGTGCTACCTCAAGATCCAGCTTATACAACTCCTAGGCATATATACAAAATATGCTCATGTATACAACAAGGACATTTACTCAACCATGGTCATAGCAGCTTTATTCATAATAGCTAGGATCTGGAAAAAAAACAGATGTCCCTCAACTAAGGAATGAATACAGAAATTGTGGTACATTTACACAATGGAATACTACTTAGCAATTAAAAACAAGGAAATCATGAAATTTGCAGGCAAATGATGGGAACTAGAAAAGATCATCCCAAGTGAGGTATCCCAGAAGCAGAAAGACACACATGGTATATACTCACTTATAAGTGGATATTACTCAGATATATAGGATAAACATAGTAAAATCTGTACACTAAAAGAAGCTAAGCAAGAAGGAGGACCCTGGGTAAGTTGCTCAATACTCATTCCGAAAGGAAAATGGGATAGGTATCAGAAGAAGGAGGAAACAGAGAACAGGAAGGAGCCTACCACAGAGGGCCTCTGAAAGACTCTACCCAGCAGGGTATCAAAGCAGATGCTGAGATTCATAGCCAAACTTTGGGCAGGGTGTAGGGAATTTTATGAAAGAAGGGAGAAATAGAAAGACCTGGAGGAGACAGGAGCTCCACAAGGAATGCAACAGAACCAAAATATTTGGGCACAGGGGTCTTTTCTGAGACTGATACTCTAACCAAGGACCATGCATGAAGATAGCCTAGAACCCCTGCACAGATGTAGCCCATGGCAGTTCAGTGTCCAAGTCAGTTCCCTAGTAAGGGGAACAGGGGGTGTCTCTGACATGAACTCAGTGGCTGGCTCTTTGATCACCTCTCCTTGAGGGTGGAGCAGCCTTACCAGTCCACAGAGGAAGACAATGGAGCCAGTCCTGATGAGACCTGGTAGGCTAGGATCAAATGGAAGAAGAGGAGGACCTCCCCTATCAGTAGACTGAGGGAGGGGCAAGGAAGGAGAAGAGGGAGGGAGTGGGATTGGGAGGGGACAAGGGAAGGAACTACAGCTGGGATAGAAAGTAAATAAGTTGCAATTATTAAAAATAAATGTAAAAAGTATTAGAATTTTTAAAGAGAACATTAACTATAAATGAAATTTCTATGCCCACTGACAGGTAGGCGTCACCCCAAATGTCAAACACAAGTTGGTGTTTCTGGTGTCACATTTTATGAAAAAAAAAAAAAAAGGAGCATCAATGACAACGGCAAGCCGGCTCCTGGCAGAGCGTTTTGTACTTTCTAATGCTGCTTTCACCCATCGGGTTTCTGCCTCCTCTTTTCCAGCTGCTTGGAGGAAATGGGGGAAGGGGACTGCGTCTAGGGTTCTTCGCTTGTTTGGATAGAAAGCCGTGCTGAACAATGCTGAAAGGCTTGTCTGTGTTCCCCCAGGTCCTTCGTAGCAACAGCTTGCTGGAATCCACAGACTACTGGCTGCAGAACCAGAGGACACCTTGCCAGATTGGGTTTGTGGAAGAGTCTGAAAACTGTGCTTCTGTGAGTGTGTGGAACTCTGGGTGGGTGGGGGAGCACAGTCTGAAAATGCAGGAAACCAGGGCATGTACCTAAGGCAAAAACTTCTTAAAAGGGTTGGAAAAGTATCCTGTTAGAAATCCCTGAGTGGAACATGAGGATAGACAGCACAATAACAGACAGCTCATATCGATGCTTCATTTAAATAGATGAACTAATACAATCACTCCCCTGAAAAGGGAAAAACTGTTATAAAAAAAAAAGTGACCCAGGCACATATTCAGAAATAAAATTGTAGTATAGGAAGAAAAGTCTAAAAGCTCAATAGCTCTTTTGGCTTCTTTCCAATATGTTTTACAACTCCCGTTAAAAGGTGTTTTTTCTGATAGAAAATTAGGTAAGAATTTTCCAGCATTCTTATAACTTAGAGCTACAATTTTGAAATCTCCCTCAACCTAAGAAGTAAAAAGGCATGAATTTTAATGTACTGGGCTGTCTATGTAAAGCCTCTGTGAAGCATGAAATATTTTCATAGATAAACTGTGTAAGTCTTAGGCTTTAGAAGACGAGCACACACCGTGTAAGCATTTGCAGAGCTCCTTCCCTGCGGGCGGTATGCTGCACTGTGATTGAAATCGCCTAGCTCTCGGGGGTCATGAGAACAGGGACTAGGCAGTGTTTTCAAGTGGGGGCAGAAATGTATTTCTCCTGGCTAAATTGAGAGCACCACCTCCTAGCTATTCCTGGGGGCAAGTTCTGTGCTGGCGTATCTGTTTCAAAAGAAAAGAAAAAAAAATTACAGAAGGATGAAAATGGGGTGGGTCACTTTTGATAGGTCCTGAACAGAGCAGTTCTAGCAGGCGGCGCAAGGACCATTTCACAGAGAGGAGTGTCACGGCACTCACGGCCCCAACACACTCAATATACTCTCTACTTTTTGGAAAGGGAAGAGGACACAAGGACCCACCCCTAACCAAAAACCTATTTGCAGTAAGTACCTGCTGGGAAAGAGAAAACTACCTTCATGGCTATGAACCAAAAATGCATGTTAAGATCCCTATAGAAAACTAGTCTTTAGCTAATGTATCCTGTAGTCACTTTCTAAATTCTTTCTCTTTGAGCTTGGTGAGGTTCTAGGGTAGGGAGAACTGTGAAAGATCAGGTGTGATTGTTTGACTCAAAATGGCCCCCATAGGCCTAGAGAGGCAGTATTAGGAGGCATGGCCTTGTTGGAGGAGGTGTGGCTATACTATGGTTGGGCTTTGAGGCAGCAAAAGCTCAAAGCCACACCTAGTGGCTCCTTCTTCCTTCCTGCTGCCTGCTGATTGGGATGTGGTACTCTCAGCTCCTTCTCCAGCACCATGTCCGCCTGGATGCTGCCATGCCCCTTGACATGATGATAATAGACTAAACCTCTGATACTGTAAGCCAGCCATAATTAAATGTTTTCTTCTATAATAGTTGCCATGGCCATGGCGTCTCATCACAGCGATAAAATCCTACCTAAGATACCAGGGTTCCATATTTCTAAGAAAACTTCATAGCTACAGCTGACCTAGGGTATACTATAGACATATAGGGCTAGGAGAAGGAAATCTTGACAGAACAACCACAGGGTGGAACTAAGCAGTCAAGGAAGAGTATTGAATTCTTTTTTCAAAACTGTTTCTCAGTTTGTCAGGGTGGAACAAACCTATACTCCCAGCTACCGGGGGACTGATGTTCAGGGTTACCTGGGCTATAGAACAAACGCTTTATCAAACAATGGGTAAAAATTCATTTTCTCATAACCCCATGAAAGTGTAATGTAAATGCCAGCAAGCACTGTGATTGATGCCTGTAATCCCAGGATTACAGGAGGATGATCAAGTGTTGTTGGCCAGTCTGGACTACATAGGAAGTTCCCAAGCAGCCTGTTGCTAATATCCAATCTCAGAAGCCTCCCTGGGGGGGGGGGGGTGTAATTTAAAGGAAGATTTAAAATAGTTCCATTAAAAATAATCCCTTCATTAAAGTTTAATTTTAGAAAAATCAGTATTATGAAACTATCCCTGGCTTAAAGTATTTACAGACAATCACAACAGACCCCCAAGGAACCGGTAGGGACTCTGTTTATTGCTCTGCCATCTTTTTGTTATTCTGGAAGGCACAACATTAAGTAGATTGCTGTTTCGGTTATTTTGTCCTTACTTCAATTAGTAGCTAATTTTATATCTAGAATAGATTGGTTTGGTGTCACTTGAAAAAAAAATTGTTTTTTGAGGAAGGGCTTCAGGCTTGGAAATTATTGGAGTATTGTGTCCATGTATTGGTACAGGTTTTGTTTCTGAACTGCAAACTGTGAGGGTTAGTTATTTCTCCTTGATGTGTTTTTATGTAACTAGTAGCACATACATTCTTATGAATTGTTTTAGGATGAACTATAAACAAGATGTCTTTTATCCCTGACTTCTTTGGTGTGGAGCATAAAAATTTAAAACCAGTGTTGAACTTAGAGCCACAGAAAAACATTGTTATAGTTTGTTACTCTTTGAATGTAGAAAATCCTGGAAAGGCTACATATGGTTCCCAATGGTGGTACTCCTAAAAGGCAGTAGAAACCTTAGGAAATGGCGCCTGTTTGGAGAATCACTGGCAGTATAGCCTGGAGGGACATATTCATTCTCTCCCTCTCCTTTTTCCCCTCCCTCTCCCCCTCTTTCTCCTTCAGTCCCTCTCACCACTCCCTTCCTCCTCTCTTCTCTTCTTTCTCTTTCTCTTCCTCTTCTTTTCTGCTTCTCCCTCTCCTCCTTACTTCCCTCTTCTCTCTTTCTCTTTACTGACCCCACCATACACACAGTATCTTCTTTTCCCTTGCCTACTAGGTCTTCTTCATCTAGAAACAATGATGCCAAATGGCCATGACACACATAGCCACTTCTGCTCAAACTCTAAGGCAAAATAAATCTTTCTGACCCTTAAAGCTCTTTTATCAGGTCCTTAGACACAGTGAGAAAAATCTGCCTGACACAGTTCAGGTCCCTCTGCACAACAGCATTCCTTTGTCACTGAGGAATCTTAAAGAAAAGCTAAATGCCACCCATAGAAAGGCAAGAAACATCAAATATTAGTGAAGGATGGCAGAGCAAAACACCTCCCCTCATGTTAAAGAAGAGACTTTTGCCTTAGGAAGGATCTTACTCAGTCTGGAGCATTGCTTCAGCAAGCAGCCTCTCGGAAGACAGAGGATGTGAATAGCTCTCAGCCCTCATCCATAGAAGTTTGTTGTTTTCTAGCCACATTCTTCTTCCTTCCTTCTCTCTGACATATTTCCAGCTCTAATACGAAAACCCTTCATGAGTCCAGAAGAAAGGACCCTCTTGGAAAGCTTGCTTCTCAGCCTAGCTCCCAGGCTAGATAAAGTGACATAACTCTTGTTGAAATGGAGCACAAATCCTTTAACCTGTCTATGTGGCCTGGCCTCATCCTATGCATCTTCCTCATCAGGAAATTTAAAATTCAAAATTCCCAGAGGAAGCATTTGGACTTTTAGAAAAACAAAATGACTGCTAAACATGTCTAAGCTGCCAGAAGCCAATGATTTAGGAAAAACTGCTCTGCTGTAAAACATAACTGTGAAAGCTTATATATCTTTATATACCAGGCTTTAAATGACTATATAAGCACTTGGTAATAAGGGCTCCCTGTGTAATTGTAAATTAAAAATAGGTTGCAAACACATCAAAATATACAGTGTACAATAGGAACTACATAATTAATAATAGTGTATTTTAATTGATATTTTCATTTGATGTATAGGCTGTGGCTGTTCCAGCCATGGAAAAGGCAGGTTGATAACTATGTGAGATGAGAGAAATGTTCATGTGTTCTATTATCCTAATGATTTTGACATATATATAAGAAAATGTGTTCTAAGCCTTAAATAATTGATACAAAAGTAATAAATTAAACAAAACAAATTAATTCAAAGCAACATAAGAGTAAACAGAAAAAAACTAAAGCCATAAGTGTGTATGCAATAATGTTTTTGAAGAATAGCTAAGAATAATTACACTGGTATTGTTTGGCTGGAGTCCTGAGCCATAGGTAGTATTATTTACTACAAGTGAGGAGAGCTATCAAGAGAGGGAGGGGTGAGGGATGGAGGAAGGGGGACTAGATATTGGAAGGTGGGGGATGATTGAATATCATTTATTCATTCTAGTAGAAATGACAGCTAGATATCTGGATATAGAAGCTAGAACTCTTGGCAAGGTCAGGGCTAGAGTCTTAAATGTCATCAATGGGTGTTGGAGAGCAGAAGTCCATGGGGTGGGAGTGGCTATCAAGAGAAAGAAGCAGTTTACAAGGTATCTGGGACACTCAGAATACATGCGTGGTTGATGATCTGCATGCTGTAGCATCCCAGACACAGCAAGGGATTATTACTTTAGTCTGTAAGCCTGAAATTTAAAGGCATAAAATATTTTACAAATCTCAACATTTTGCCACTAAAAAAAAAGTGGTTGGATGTGTAGATCTGGGCGTGCTTATGCAGCCTGAGTGTTTACATCATTTATCAACTATTTTTAATTCGTTTTGACAGGACACATTATTAAAATAGCTCAGAATAGCGACATGTTTCAAATGCTCAACACCTCCTCCCATTATCGCAATTTTTCTTTGAGGGAAAAGCCTATCAGTCAAGAAAAGCCAGCAATAATAAATAACTATTCTCATTAAAATCCCTCTAACACCTGAAGGTATGACTACGTCATTTTCTATTTCTCTTTAGAATTGTTTGTTTGTATCAACCTGTCTTGCCTACTCAATTATTTTTGATATCCTAGGGGGAATGGTGGGAAGGAATAGTTGATTTTTTTAATCTTATATGCTCAAGGTTGAAAAATACAAATATTAGGAGGATGATCTGGCTAACAAGTACTAAAAGATATCTGTTTTGTATTCCCAGGAGTATTAGTTACCTCTTTTGTGACAACGACAAGGTTTGCTTTAAAGGTTAATGGGGAAATGAGAGCATATTA